TTTCTTTCTCTCTGTTTTTTTTTTTTTTTTTTTTTTTTAAAGAGAGATTTTTGCTATAGGGCACCTGTACTCACCAAAGAGAAAGTAAGAAGTCAGCCCCCCCTAGGGGGCATGGCCACACTGTAATCCCCTCTCTGTTCTCCTTGTGATTTTGGGCTCATGTGCACACATGCCTGGTGTGAGTTTAAGCCACCCAGTCCATGACTTTAACCATGATCTACTGTGTGGGAGTCCAGCCATGTAACCATTATGACATCTGCTGGTCCCAGAACTTGCAGAGATTCTGGTAAAGTGCATGGTGTTGGATCTCTGAGAGGAAATGAATATAAATTAATGGGGAATTTATTATTATTATTATTTTTAATTTGACCAGAGAGAAAGAGAGGAAGGGAAAGGAAGAGAGCAAGTTGCCAGGTCTGGGACTCGAACTGTAGTTGGTCAGTTCCTTTAACCAATATGCCACCTACTGGCACCAGGGAAAGTGGATTTAAAATGAGCAAATAGTGATGGTGTGGTTTCTGATAAAATCACGGGGAAATAAGTTCTGTTTGGGTCACATTTCAAATACTAGGCAGTTTTCAGCTATGCATATCAGTTCCAAAAATAGACCAGACCTTTGATATTTGCATATCTTCTCCATCCTCCATATTGTGTCTTAAGGGGGCACTCAGCATTTGCAGTCTGGAGAAATAGCAATTGAAATAAACTTACGGGGGCTTTTACCACCCATCAAAATTTATGTCAGGATTTGTCTGTGTAATATTGAATTGTTATAGTGTACAAGAGGTCTTGAAAAAGTTTATGGAAAATATGGGTGGATTCTTAAAATTTTGCACCAAAATAAACTCGTACTTTATATTTTCCATGAACTTTTGAAGTCCCTATGTATATAACACGTACAATAAGAAAAGAAATGTGCACAGCAAATTTTTATTTGTCTGTTTTTTTGCTATAGGGTGCAAGTGCTTGCCTGAGAGAGACAAAGTGAGAAATCACCCCCATTCTCCTCTCAGGGTTTTGGGTGCACACATGCCCAGTATATTAAAACCACTGGGTCTGGGTTGGCCATGTGGGATCCAGCACTTTAACCACCACATTACCTGCAGGCCCAAAGCAAATGTAAAGAATTATTTTTGTTTTGTTTTAATAATTATTTATTTAATTTTATTTATTATTATTATTTTTAAAATGTTACCAGACACACACATGTGTAATAAGAATTGTGTTGTGTCTCATTACATTTTAACATATTTGTCTAGTACATAAATGTTTTAGAAACTACTTAATTTCCCTCATTATTTATATAATTTTGACAGTTAAATTGCACATTTACAAAAATCAAAATGCAGTTTTTAAAAGTCCAGATACAAGTTCAACAGATTAATAGTAGAAGTTGCCCTGTAAGAAATACCCTTGTTAACAATCAGAGAAAAATTGAGCACACTGAAGGTCCTTCCAAGTTTTAGAAATGTTTGCAATGCCTCACAACCTCCTTTTAGTAATTGTTCACATTGCAGTTGCAAATAACTACTGGTGGGACCAGCAGTTGATGTGATAGCTATGTTGCTGTTCTCCCATGTATTTGACCATGGTTCGAGTCCCAGACCCAGTGGCTTAAACTCACGCCAGGCATGTGTGCATGCGTGCCCAAGATCCTGAGAGGAGAATGGAGAAGGGATTGTGATGTGGCCATCCCCCCTGGGGGGTGATTTCTCCCTTTCTTTCTCTCTGTTTCCCTCTGTCTTTCTGGCGAGTGCACATGTCCTACAGCAAAAACCTCTCCAAAAAAAAAAAAAAAAAAGAACCCAGGTAACTACTGGTTATCCATCATAATGACACATCTTGTTCAGTTTGGAATGTAAATAGTAATCATACTTTTTATTAACCTGGGCCACAATATAAACATACACTGGTAACTGGCATTCTTTTTTATTTTTAAATTTGATACGGTTGCATATGCTCATCAGAGACAGAGAGAGAGAGAAGGTTGAGAAAGTGAGAAAGGGTTAGGGTTAGGGTGTGGTCAATTGACCACACCACAGTCCCTTCTTCATTCTTCTCTTAGAATTTTGGGTACGTGCACACATGGACCTGGCATGTTTTTTAAGCCAGCAGGTCTAGGACTCGGCACAATTGGCCACACGAGATCTAACAACTGTAACCACCATACCACCAGCTGGTACACCACTTTCTATGTAGATGAAATCTACAGGCTACTATATTTTACAGTACTCATTTCCTTCAGTATATTTTCCATGAAATAGCAACTGAAGAAAAACAACATAGCTAATTTCATGTTGTCCAAGAGAATATTAAAACAAAATTTAGAACTGGCAACCAGTTATAACTAGGTCACAGTTGGGGGCCACTCCTCCAGTTAATGCTAAAATTGCTTTATTAAGAAGTTGTATTTCTAGGGACCAGAAGTTAGTGTAATGGCTAGGTCGCTGGACTCCCTTGTAGTCGACCGCAGTTTGCGTCTTGGACCCAGTGGCTTAAAACTCACACCAGGCGCGTGTGCGTGTGTGCCCAAGATCCCAAGAGGAGAATGGAGGAGAAGGATTGCAGCATGGCCATCCCCCCTGGGGGGTGATTTCTTGCTTTCTGTCTCTGTGTTTCTCTCAGTCTGTCTGGCGAACGCACACGCCCTATGGCAAAAACCTCTCCAAAAAAAAAAAAAGTTGCATTTCTGGTAACAACTATTCAAAAGATCTAAGTCTTCCTAGTCTTCCTTTTCTGCCTTATCACAAAAAAAGATGTGAAAATTCTAAGTTCTTTGTTGATTTGCTTTAGGTTGGCTGTAGGACTCATGCACTTGGCCAGAGAAAGATGAGGTGTTGGGGGGGAATCACCCTTTGAGGGGATAGCCACCCCACAATCCATTCTCCAGTATCTTCTTGGGATTTTGGATATGTACATGTGCCCGGCATAAATTTCAAGCCACCAGGTCTGGGACTTGAACCATGCAGGTAGCCATATCAGGCAAGTGATATCCATCAACTTAATCTCCATGCCACCTGCTGGCCAAGTTCTTTCTTTTTTTTTTTTGGAGAGGTTTTCGCTATACGGCGCATGCAATCT